GAGCCCAGGAGTTGGAGGTTGCTGTGAGCTGTGATGCCACAGCACTCTACCCAGGGGGACAGCTTGAGGCTCTGTCTCAAAAAAAAGAAATTATAAAATAATTTCCTATATTTTAAGCATAGACTTTACCTTGGAGTTTCTAATTTTATATTGAAGAGAAAACAGAATAATATAATGAAATTTGCTATGTAGACAATTTGGGGGATAGTCTGTCTAAAAAATTACAACTCAGTATAATTCTATATACGTAAATATACAAAAAATGTATATGACTAAAAGTATTTAAAACAGAAAACCATGAATGATATTTCCAAACAGTGAGGCAAATACGTGAAGAGCTCAACCAATGGTGTTATTCTTGAAGGTACTGAGCCTGGATAAAACTTGATTACCATAAGTATATGGTATAGAAGCTGAAGAAACAAAGACAGTAACAAGTTAATTTAGAAAAATTAATCAATGATCATACAAATACCATAAGTAATAGGAATAAAGCCCACCAGAGTCTCAAATGGAAAAAAAACACAGTTGTGTCCTCAGCGACAAACATTAGAGGCAGATGAAGTGCAGACAGAATTTAAGGAACAGAGAGAAAAGAAATCGGAAGAGAAACTGATTGAAGAAATGTCTTAAATTAGGACGTGGAAAGAGTGAATAAGGCAATTAGGTGAGTTGAAATGGTAGGAGAGACTGGAATCCTGTCCACTCCCTCTTGCCAAGGTTAACCAGAATTGATGTCTACCTATAAGAATTGCAGGTGTTTGATTCCAGTATGTTTAATTATCCTTTTTACATTGTTCGAAGACAAATTTTATTTTCCTCTCAATGTCAGTATTTCAATGTGTGTAAGAAATTGAAGATATTCTTTTGACAAATGCTCAGAGCTACAATGTTCAATTTCTGTTGGTCTTTCCCTTTCCCACCTATTTGAACTAGGAGTTTAAGTGCAACTTTAAGGTGGGTAGGCCATCACACAGGGAGACAGGGGGGAGATAGAGAAGAGGCCGCAAGAACCATTCAAATTTCAGCTGGACACATCTCAACAAGCAAAAAGTTCTGTAACATTGTAAACCAACTAATAGTAACAATATATCTCTAATTAACATGCATATTAATCAATTAATGGAGTGATTCATAACTATTTTGGATATTCTTACAATAAGCAAGTTTCTTAATCCAAGTTTCCTTATCTATTAAAGGTAAAAATAGAACCTCTTTTAGAGTTGTTGTGAGGATTAAATGGGATGATGCACTATAGCCTGGCTACATACTAAGCTCTGTTTTCCAGAAAATAGTGATTGTTACTGACATTCTGTAATGTGCATATTTTGGTACATGCATCTTCATTCAAAAAGAAGGATAGTTTGGGCGCGGTGCCTCACGCCTGTAATCCTAGCACTCTGGGAGGCTGAGGCGGGTGCATTGCTTCAGCTCACGAGTTCGAGACCAGCCTGAGCAAAAGTGAGACACACCCCCCTACCCCGCCCCGTCTCTACTAAAAATAGAAAAACTAAGGCAAGAACTAAGGATCGCTTGAGCCCGATAAGGAGGTTGCTGTGAGCTATGACGCCACTGCACTCTACCCAGGGCGACAACTTGAGACTCTGTCTCGAAAAAAATAAAAAGACAGGAGGAGAGAGTATTTATTAATTACTTCTGTACTGGATGCTTTACTACTAATAATTAAACCTCCCTCGAGCGCCCTAGACCGCCGCGCACACCGCGGAGGGAGCCCTTCTGCAGGCCACCCGCTCGGAGGGTTTCAGGCCGGGGGATGGGATGGCTCCTCCTTCGCGGTTGCGTCGGCCGCGCGGTCATTCCACCTTGTTCACTCTGTCCCTTCCCACCCACCAGTAGTCTTGGCTCCGGGCTGCGGGTGGACAAGCGAACGCCGTTAGGCCTCGTGGGCTTAGGGGAGGCGGCCAGTGCGCGGCGCTCACCTCCCGCTGCCGCCTAGCGCGCTGGGAAGCCTGACAGCGGAGGTGTCGCAAAAGCGTCGCGAAGCCGTCCGCCCTTGGCGGCTCCTTGCCACCTGTATAAGCGGAGCGTGCAGGGGTTTGAAAACTGGTATGGAAACAGCTGTGGCCGAGGTTCCCCGCGATTGCTGGGACTCCATGGAGAAACGGTTCTTCGGTGTCCTGGGCTGCTGAACTCTCGCCGCCTGCGTTCCCGCGGCGCAGCCATAGGGCCATGCTGGCCTCGCGTGTGGTGCGCGGCTGGTGGGGGGTCCTGCGCGGCGCAGCCGGGGCGTCGGGGGCGCGGCCGGGCCGGGGGCGCACCCGAGGGGCCCTGCTGCCGCCCGCGCCCTGCTGCCTGGGCTGTCTCGCGGAGCGTCGGTGGCTGCGCCCGGCCGCGCTCGGTCTACGGCTGCGTGGGGCCGGCCCGCGGAACCACTGCTCGGGCGCGGGGAAGGCGGCCCCCGGGCCGGCTGCCGGACGGGGCGCCGCCGCCGAGGTCCCCGGCGGCCAGTGGAGCCCGGCGACTGCGGCCAGCCTGGTACGTAGTGAGGAGGCGGCGGAGGGCTGTCCTTGGGCTGGGATCGCGGCCCTGGACGCGAGTAAAGTGGTCCGGCCAGTCTAGCTCTGACGCTTCGGTTTCGGAACGTTTAAACCGTTCCCTGAAGAGAAGTTACCGGCGGGTCTTTCGGCTGGGATGAATGTCAGGGGCGCCAGTAGGGTCTACCTACCGTATCAGTGTTCAAACTTGAACTCTGCTCTCATCGCCCTTCTATTTGTACCCTGTGCTAGAAGGGCCTCTGCATACTGCATTGGTAAAAATAATTTCGCTTGTTTTATTCAAACTCTTTAAATTTTATGAAGTGAATCCCCATTGCTCAGGGAAAATCCGTGGGGATCATTTAACAGAGTACACGGCTCTTTTGCTTGCTTGTGCACGTTGGGGTCACATCATTTGGTGGTTGCTTTACACATGGTAGGATGAAGGATAATTGATATAGGTCATGATTAAAAGATTCTTATACTCTATAGAAAAAGGTTAACACTATTCTTGAGGTAACGGAGGGAAGTTCGCCCACTTACCTGTTGAATACTGCCCAGGTAGAAGACACCAGAGTGTAAGTGTGGGAGAGCTTTTGATGTCATGTTAGCAAGACTCATGCAATTATTACATCTTCAATTGTTATGTCTGCAGTGGCCCCTGTGCTGCTTTCATCAGTTGTACATCATGGGTTGAGGTGGCCACATCCTGGCAGGAGTCTCAACTCCACTAATAGCTAAAACATGTTGGGGTTTGAATGCTGGATGCTTTGAAGTTGTCATATCCTGGCTGATGTCCTTCCCAGACGGCAGTAGTTGGTCGAGTATACCACAGGTTATCTGGTTGGGTAAACTGAGATTAGCTCTCCTAATGTTAACTTTGAAACTTTTACAAATTTAATGGTTAGAAATTAATGAGGTATTTTAACTGAAATGTTTTGTGTGGAGCTAAAAAGAACCCCTTTTACTGTTCAACAACATTAGTCCAATGTATTCATTCAGCAAATGAAATTATGTTGCTGTTTGCAACTTTGTGTTTACCTTTGGCTTAGAGCTATCTCCAAGGTTAATTCTGGGTCTCTTGTTTCTGATCTTTTGATTTCTTTGTTCCTTTTTCTCAATCATGAACTGCATTTCTCTCTTCCCTCCTTCCCTGTGAGTTGCTGTAATATCAGATTGATAGTCGTTGCCACAGTGTGGTCAATAGACTTATCTTTTCTCTGGTCTCTGAAACTTTGATCTTTGAACTTGAAATTTGGAATATATTCCTAGAATTGTTTTTCATTATATAATGTGATCTTTCTTCCTTTTTTTTTTTTTGAGACATAGTCTCACTTTGTTACCCTCAGTAGAGTGCCGTGGTGTCACACAGCTCACAGCAACCTCCAACTCCTGGGCTTAGGCAATTCTCTTGCCTTAGCCTCCCTAGTAGCTAGGACTACAGGTGCCCACCATAATGCCTGGCTATTTTTTATTGCAGTTTGGCCGGGGTCAGGTTTGAACCCATCACCCTTGGTGTATTGGGCCGGCACCCTAGCCACTGAGTCACTGGCGCCACCTTGTATTTTTATTTTGTGATTGTTCCCTGGAGAATTTGAAGCTTTTCTATATCTTTCAGTGACAGTATTCTGCCACTTAACCCCAACAGCAACCACTGAATTATCCCTGTAAGCTGAGGTGCTTTCTTGCTATTTTTTTTTTTTTACTGGATTCTGTTTATAAACACAAATGTAGTATCTTTAGAGACTACCTTTGTTTTTAATAGGATAATTCATAGGATTTAAAAAATATGTGTCTTTAGAAATGGACTCTGCCACTTTTTAAAAAACCGAAATTAAGGTTTAGGCAAGTTGGTCACTTATTAAGAAAGAGGTTAAGTAGGGTTAGTTCTTGTGAAGAGAAAGTCCCAGGGGTCAGAGGTGGCATTCTTGACTCTGTATAGGAAAAAAAAAATCTAGGCTTTCTTGGTGTTATTTCTGTACCCTGTTGTGAAGGGTGTCTTAGCTCTACTGGGCAGAGGCTTTTTAAAGTTGAAATACCCTCTCACGAATCAGATTTTGTTTGGCAAGGAAGGGATGTTCTTCGGAGCAGCTGCCAAAGAGCTCTTTTGTTAGTGCCAACTTCAAACAACTTGGCTCCAAGTGAAGTTTCAAGGAATTGTAAAGCTTCCACATCAGAGCTGTATGAGCCCCTTAGTTTCTAGTTGATGGTCTTAACATTTCCATGCCTGTTTTGAGTAGAGTTGCAAAACTTTTATTTCCAAATATCTCAGTCCCTATCCCCATCTCCATTTTCTTCCAGCAATTCACTGACTTAGTGACAAGGTTAAAGAATTAAATTGGTTTTTCCCCCTCTTCATTCATATTTGTATTCATTGTGTCCAGCATTTAGCATTCTTTTGATCGATGTGTGTAGGGGAATGAGGGAGCTTATTTGCAATAAGGGTTTGAAGCTAAATTGCCTGGGGTTGATAATTTGATCTAGAAAGTGTCAGAAAGAAAGCCATTTGTCTACTTATAAGATCTTCCTGAAGTTTCACTTTTGAAAGAAGAGTATTGAAATTGAAAGTTCTGATTTCTTACATGACAGAGGATATGTTCTTCTGTCTCCTCTTTTTAGGAAGAAAACTGTAAGACCCTTTAGGCTGTTTGGGTGCATGACACATCTTCATCTTCTGTATTCTTAAAAGATGGTTTTAGGGAACCATGGAAAGGACAGAATGGATTTAAAAACTCAGTTTAATGTACTAAAAGTAAATGTTCCTGTAGCCTCTGACACATTACTGAACTGTATTTTTCTAACATACATAGTTGTTGAAAGTATGAATTCATAGTATTTCATTTAAATTTTGTTGTCTTTGTGTTTCAGTATGAAAACCCATGGACAATCCCAAATATGTTGTCATTGACAAGAATTGGCTTGGCCCCAGTTCTGGGCTATTTGATTATTGAAGAAGATTTTAATATTGCACTAGGAGTTTTTGCCTTAGCTGGGCTAACTGATTTGGTAAGTTGTAAACACACACCCATTTTGCTGTCTTTAATCCCAGAGTCTCTGCTACTGTACTGCCTAGCCTTAGTCTGCTTTTCCTTGAAGAGAAATCCTCAAGATGAATTTGACCTAGTACTTTGTGTAAGGACTTGTCTTTAGCATCTGTGTGGGACTCTTCTTCTGCTTATAATCTAAGGAAGAGGTGAAAGTTGTAGGGAAGAATAGGAGGGGACACTTTGTACTTTTGATTTTTAAATTCTTTGTTGGAGAAATACCCTTAGAAATTCCCTAAGAGCTGAGTGTTTGCTTTAGGGATAGAAATAAAGGGAGAATCTGCAACTGTTTTTCTATTTATTATGAACAGAAGGAAATACTCAAATCTGTAATAGGAGTTTGTTCTCCTGGTGGAAAGAAAAATAGTGGACCAGTTGTTATGACCCGGGGAACTGGGATGTGTTCAGGGAGCTTGTAGAGGTCAGAACTTTGCTCAGGTTGACTGCTAGCAGGAGGCCGTAGGTGCCCCACAGGCACGGTCCCTGCTGCGTGCTCCACTCCACTCTGACCCCCTTGCAGAAGGCTCTGCCCTGGGCTGGCCTTTTTGAATGTTGTTATTCCATTCACTTAGCACATGGAACAAAGGAGAGAAGAGCACCTTGGTACCATAATGTCAGTTTGAGCGGAGGGGAGGATTTATTTCGGTGATCTCAAACTAGAATCGGGAAGTAATTATATAACACAAGGCTACATTATGTATTAAATAAGCTTTAGTGGACTGGCTGACCCTAATTATGTGTGACATTATTTGTATTATTGCCAACCTTGTTTTATAAAAGATTTGAGATGCTTTACGAAATTACACGTCCTATAAACACACAGTTGAGGGAAAGATGAAAAGGTAGAGGGAATGTTGAATCAAGACAGAAATTAACGTGGAGACGCAGAGACATTATACAAGGCTGGTCTGAAGTCCATGCGAGCACCTAGACAGTCCAGTGATCCGTGCCTCTTCCTACTTTATGTTGGAAAAGCTTTAGTCAGAATTTATTTATTGAGACGGGAGAGGAACTAATTTTTTATTCACAAAAGTTTCATAGTGGATTCTCTGGTGCTGTTAAAAAAAAAGTACATAGTTCTTTGTATCATCAGCTATGCTGTTTGAGGTTTGTAGAAATAAAGATTCCACCAGCCTAACAGCACTATGGGGAAGAATGTAGAAATAGCTAAAGATTCTGGAGGGAAAATAGAGAAGAACATTTGTATCCTTAGATGATGTTTCCAAATATGCATCAAATGTAACCTCAAATCGGTCCTTACCTCTCTTTTGCCAGAATGTAGCTCCATTTGCACCATCTCTCTCCATCCTCCAAAGCTCTTCTTTTGTCCCTGCTTTTATCTCTGGAGGCTGAAGACCTCCACTCCTTGTTAATATAGTCTCTAAGTCCACGGCCATTATACTGATAATGAACATTTTTTTAATGTAACAGACACAATCTGTTTCAGTTACTGGATTCACCTTTTTTGGTCTTCTAGCAGTTTTGTTTGTTTGGGCTTTTTTCTTTTTCTTTCTTTTTTTGTTGGTTTGGTTTTTTGTTGTTGTTTTTTTTTTTTTTTTATGCTGTCACATGAGATTATAATATTCATTGAATGAGAGAAAGGCCTAAGTATATAGTAGCACCTCTATAGTTGAGGTCTGATTGTGTTATAAGAAGAGTCACTGGTTAGGAGGTTTACTATAGAGCACCTTCTTACATTGACCACCTCTTTAAGTTGACCTAATTTTCATAGACTGGACATGCACCACATGTACATATCAGTACTGTAGGCCTAGGTCCTTATGTTGACCACCTCTATATGTTGACTAGTTGGTTACAGTCCCTTGTTTGGTGGTCAGCTTACTGAGGTTCTACTATATAAAAGATGATATCTGTGGAGACCCGAGTTAACTGGTGCCATACATATTCACATTTATTTGATGGAAGTTTTAATGCCTACATGTTGGCTGCTGGGCAGAAGGCTGGATTCATCAGTTTGAGCAGGAGAATAATAAGCTGTGATTGTGTTATATGTAGGAAATGGATTATAAAAGGCAAGAGTGGAAGGGTGGTTAGGAGGCTTACAGTAATCTAGGGGAGGCAGTGGAGGGAGTTTGGAGTTAGAAGTGGATGGGTTTGGGATGGGTTTTAAAGATAGAGTTAAGATGTTGATGGGTTGGATATGTGGAGTGAGAGGAGGAGTCAAATATAAATAGTATACTTTAAAAAAAAAATTCTCTTTTCAAAAACCAGGTTCATGGAGGTCACTTTTCTGTGATAGGCAACATGGGGTTTAGGGAAGAATACCAAGAATTCTGGTGGCTGTCCACTTAGAGGTATCAGTTGAGAAAGTGCGTGTAGTAGTTAGGAGTTGAAGGAAGTCAGCATTACAGAGAAACCTATTTGGTAATTATCAGATGTAGTCAAGGTTAACTCATCTAGGCTGAGAGAAAAACACAGAAATGAGGAGTCAGAGAAATGAGCCACCAGGAGAACAGTGGAGAAGCCAGTAAAGGATGCTGAGGAAGAATTGCTGGCGAGGAAGGGTAGAAATTAGTAAATGGGGTGCCCTGGAGGGTACGTGAAGAAAGGACTTTAATTGTGTTGTGGTCAGGTAATTTAAAAATGCACAGTTCATTGGTGATTTTTATGAGTGTTCTCTCCAGAGGGACAGGGCTGTTTGGAGTGGGTTGAGGAGCAAATGTGAGGTGTAATGACTGTGGGTATTACTTTGAGGTGTTTTGCTTTGTAGGGGAATAGAGAAATAGGATCAAGGAACGGTCATTTCATTTTTAAAGATATATAATGGGGGATTTTGTTGTTAATGAACTAATTGATTAATTAAGTGATCAGGTAGAGGACAGGTGTGGTGGCTCATGCTTGTAATCCTAGCACTTTGGGAGGCCGAAACTAGAGGATTGCTTGAGGGTAGGAGTTCAAGACCAAACTGAACAAGACCAAGACCTAGTCTCCACCCAAAAATAGAAAAATTAGCTGGGCATGGAGGCACACACCTGTAGTCCCAGCTACTTGGGAGGCTGAGGAAGGAGGATCTCTTGAGTTCAGGAGTTAAAGGTTGCAGTGAGCTATGGTGGTGCCACTGCACTTTAGCCTGGCTGACAGTTTGAGTCCCTGCCTCAAAAATCTCAAATGAATAAATAAAGAAATGATCAGGTAGAAAAGGAGAGATTGATGATGCAGGAGTAGATGGGGAAGAAGAGAGAGAAGTCTGATAAGGTGAGGGCGTGGGGTCAAGCTTTAGGGAGGACAGACGGAAGAAGAGTGGATGCAAGTAGGGGTGGATTTGATGATGAGAATATGAGGAATTGCTGACCATGTTTTTCTTTTCTCTCCAGGAAAATAATAGAAATGGTCATAGGCTAGAGGGATGGAATAGGTCTGAGGTGAGAGCAGACAGGATGGAAAGAGAAGATAAATATAGTAGGTAGGCATAGGATTGCCAGGAAGTATTGAGTGCCCATAGGAGATTTGTGGTCACCTATTTGAAATGAGAACAGTCAGCCCAATTTTGTGTTTTCTTTTGAGTGTTCAGCTGCTTGGGGACAGGCCTGGAGTACATGGACAGTTGTGTTTAAGCAGTGTTGAAGGAGAGTGGAGTGAGGGAGTGACAGATGTTTGCAAAGGAGTGATGAGGTTGATGACCTTGGAATCTCATGTGGGTTCGAGGAATAGTGAGGACAATGGTAAAAAAGTGGAAGTCAAGTTTCCCGAGATCAGAAACTGAACTAAACCTGAACTTCCTAGGTCCCAGCTCCCCATTCTAGGTACTTTCTGTTAGAATGCATAAGAAGAAGATACATTCTGCCATTGTGATAGTAATAGCTAGTAACTGCTTTTTTTGAGGATTTACTAAGTGCTGAGTGCTGAACAAGTATTAATCACATTATATCCTGAAGACAACCAGCCCTTTGAGGTAGGTAATGCTATCTCTGTTTTTATAGATGAAGACACTTAGGCTTTAAGAGAGGCCTAATAACTTGCCTAGAGTCACACAGCTAGTAAGTGGCCGAGCCAGGACTTGAACCTGTTCTTTTCTGCTGCAAAGACCAAGTTGTTAACCACAGTTTACTACTACAACTGTCTCCCCTGTCTCATTGGAATACTTGAGATATGGGCAACTTACCTATCCTTTAAAATGTATAATGTTTAATTATATCCAAGTTAATTTTATCTTTTCCTTAGAAATAGGAATAGAAAATTCAAACATTTACTGAAGCTTGAAGAGAAATAAAATGGTTACAAGCCAGACAGGGACTTGGGTGAACCAGAGAACACTTGCTGGATAGGCAGTACTTGGTTTCAGTCTGTGTGGTAGCCTCCAGGTGGCCACATCTCTCCCTTTCTCAAGCTAGGCTGGAGATCTGGATTTTTTATGTGAAAATTTTGAATATTTAAATGTTGGTAACTAATTATAACTTTTAAAAGCTCTGGTAGGTCAAATAAAACTAGCCCGAGGGACCCATTTGGCCTTCTAGCAATTAGGTACGACTTCAGATTTTAAATATAATTTATTTCTAATAACAATAAATACTAAAAATAAGTAATTTAGGGCGTTGCCTGTGGCTCAAAGGAGTAGGGTGCTGGCCCCATATGTCCAGGTGGCGGGTTCAAACCCAGCCTCGGCCAAAACTGCAAAAAAAAAAAAAGTAATTTAAGTGTCAGATTTTAACTAGGCCAGATTCAGAGGATTGAGTTTTTTAGTCAAATGCAGGTAATGCAGACACACTCAGGATATGGAATTAACAGTGGTATTGAACAAAGTAAATTGAAAAGTAATAAGTGATAACAGAGAGAATTAGATTATGGGAAAGTAGGTAGGGGTAGTGAAGGTTGAGTGTCTCTCAGTTGAAGAGTCGTCCTTGCAAGTAAAAGCAGCTGTTTTGGCTGTGGCGAAACTAGCCTGAGGTTTGAAAGACAGGGTCCTAGACCAGGCTGTGTCTGTGCTATACTCTGTGAGGTTTTTTTGGTTCTTTTCCTCTCTAAATATGAATCTAGGTTCTTCCCTACAAAGTGAAAATATCAAAAAATGCCTGGAAGCCCATGAGGAAAAAAAGGTTTTATAGAAATGTGAAATTATTTTCCAACCAGTTGCTAATTTAAAAGCTAAATGTATGCCAGCTAAAGAATGAGAATGTTTTGGGGTACGAAACAGAAGAGATTTTGTTAACGTTTATGAAAGTATAGTTGTTAATCTGGTATCTCTTAAGCTTCAAGATATCTACTCTGTTCCTGTTATGACATTTATAAAAAAACAACTTCTATTTTCAGTTGGATGGATTTATTGCTCGAAACTGGGCCAATCAAAAATCAGCTTTGGGAAGTGCTCTTGATCCACTTGCTGATAAAATACTTATCAGTATCTTATATGTTAGCTTGACCTATGCAGATCTTATTCCAGGTAAGAACGCCGTCATGTGTGCTTTTAAATAGCACAGGGAAGAATGGCATTAGTCAGCTTAGGACTTCTATTGAGACACATGATTTTTGTTCCAAATATATATTTTTCAGCTTTAAACTGTTTCCCTAATTTTAAACTATTGAAGTGTTTTGATTGCCAAGATCTTTGTTTATTTTAGAGTTTATGTTCACATTATACTTGTAGAATTAGAGGTTTTCTTAGTAAGATTGTTTAGTATTAAAATTGAGCAAATATTTCACAATGCCAATTCACATTACTCTAGAATTTTGGGGGGCTATATTATATATTTTTAGTGCTTCATTTTTTGAAAGCAGTTTAACATTTTCCTATTATTGCCTATATTAAATACAGCTTAATCATAGTAAATGAAAACTTTGAAATCTTGAAGATGTCTGTAAAACTTATTACTATTATTTAGATCCTAGTATACAATATTCAAATGGTACATATACTTTGTCTGTTATTTGAATACTTTCTCTAACAAAATTTTGTGATCTTTTGCTTTGTATTTTGCATGTGCTTTTGTGGTTGTTCATTTTCTGTTTCAGTTGTATTTCTCAGTTTTTCTCCCTTAGTCTAGATTAATCTGGCTTTTTTTACCCAGGAGTTAGAAATCAGATCTGAAAACAAAGAAGCCGCTATGTGTTCCTTCAGTATCATGTTGTTACTCACAGATTGGTAGGAAGGAGCATAGTGGTGTTTCAAGGTGGAAATTCCTTTACTTTTTTCTTTTTGAGACAGAGTCTCATTTCTGTTGCCCACGGTAGAGTGCTGTGACATCATAGCTCACAGCAACCTCAAACTCTGGGGCTCAAGCAATTCTCTTGCCTCAGCCTCCTGAGTAGCAGGGACTATAGGCACCCACCACAACGCCCGCCTCCTTTTAGAGACAGGTCTTGCTCTTGCTCAGGCTGGTCTCAAACCTGTGAGTTCAGGCGATCCACCTGTCTCTGCCTCCCAGAGTGCTGGGATTACAGGTGTGAGCTACTGTGCCCAGCCCTCCTTTTCTTTTTTACCATTAGTCTTTTAAGCTTTCATACCAAATTAAAAAATAAGTTGGACCAAGGTTTATATTTTTATTCTGTTTTGAAGGTTAAATGGAGGTGTGTATGTGGTTGGCAGTAGGGGGGTTGTAAGGGCAGAGGTATTCTCATTCTAATGACTTTAGATAATTTTTATCTAAAGCAGGGGTGTCCAACTTTTTTTTCTTGCTGAACACTGAAAAACGAAGAGTTGTCTTGGGCCACATATTAAATATACAAACATTAATGAAAGCTGATTAGCAAAAAATAGGTCTTTGCATACTTTTGGTGATACCCAATACCATAGATAAACAGAAAAAGTCCTCACAAAATCAGCATGTGGCCTTTGGCTGCAGATTGGACACGCCTGCAGAACATTCTGGTGACATTCAAAATTCAAATGATCTTTGTGTGTGTGTTTTACACCTCCCTCCCATTTTCAGTATTACATTTTACTGTGCTGTTTTACAAAGTTTGTCTGGATCATTTCCCTATTGAACACAGACATTATTGTTATTTTTTTTTTAGACAGAGTCTTAAGCTGTTGCCCTGGGTAGAGTGCTATGACATCATAGCTCATGGCAACCTCCAACTCTTAGGCTCAAGCGATCTTCATGCCTCAGTGTTTCTATTTTAGAAGAGATGGGGGTCTCGCTTTTGCTCAGGCTGTTCTCAAACTCTTGAGCTCAAGCAATCCACCTGCCTCAGCCTCTCAGAGTGCTAGGATTACAGGCGTGAGCCACCGTGCCTGGCCCTAAACACAGACATTATTTCTGGGTTTTTGGTGTTATGGATGATGTTGCTTTGAGCTTTGCATAATTGGTATAGGTTGCTTTCCAGGATGAGACTTCTTTCATTCTGAAAATTCCATTTTCTCTCTTTTGATTGGGTCAGTCTTCCAGGCTCCCATGTCTTTCTTTTTGTTAAAGTACTCCCTTTGGCAAAGTACATTCTCCAGTTATTTTCTGTAAAAGGCTGTAGCATGGCAGCCAGAGTTTTAGAGGTCTTAGACATCTATAGTCTCATTGTTTTACCTTCTACATGTGATTGACAGTTGAACTAAGCATAATTTTTTAAAAATATCAATAGATGTAGAATGTACACATGTATTTTTGATACATGGATGAATTGTAGTACATTGTGGTGCAGTGAGGGCGTTTAGTGTACCCGTCAGCTGAATAGTATACATCATATCCGATAGGTAATTTTGATCCCTCACATTTTCCCACCTTTGCCCCTTCTGAGTCTGCAAAGTCTATCATGCCACACTGTATGACCATGCATATTCATCACTTAGCTCCCACTTATGAGTGAGTGCTATTTATTTATTTATTTGCAGTTTTTGGCCGGGACTGGGTTTGAACCGGCCAGCACCTCTGGTATATAGGGCCAGTGTCCTACTCTTTTGAGCCACAGGGGCTGCCCCATATACTATTTATTTTTCCATACCTGAGATACCTCACTTAGGATGATGGCTTCTAATTCCTTCCAGGTTGTTGCGAAAGACATCTATTTTGTTTTTTATGGCTGAGTAGTAGTCCATGATTTTTATTTTTCTCTCTATATATCCATTCATCAGCTGGTGGGCACTTCTGTTGATTCCATATCTTTGTGATTGCAAATTATGTTGCGGTAGACATGAGTGCATGCATCTTTTTAAAGTCTTATTTATTTTTTGGGTTTTTTTGGGGGGGGGGAGGGAGGGGCGCGTCCAGGATTGCATGCATCTTTTCTTTTAGTTAAAGTGGTATTGCTGGATGGAATGGTAGGTCTACTTTCAGTTCTTTTCATTTCTTTGAGGAATCTCTGTTGTTTTCCTTAGAGGAGGTTCTAATTTACATTCCTACCAACAGTATATAAGTATTACCTTTTTGCCACATCTGTACCAACATCTGTTGTTTTTTGACTTTTAATAATGGCAGGGTTAAGGTGGTATCTCATTGTAGTTTACATATTTTTTTTAAGAGATGAGTCTCACTTTGTCGTCCTTGGTAGGGTGCTGTGGCGTTACAGCTCACAGCAACCTCCAGCTCTTGGGCCTAGGCGATTCTCTTGCCTTAGCCTCCCCAAGTAGATGGGACTACAGGCGCCCGCCACAACATCTGGCTATTTTTTTGTTGCAGTTTGGCTGGGACCGGGTTCAAACCCTCCACCCTTGGTATATGGGGCCGGCGCCCTACTCATTGAGCCATAGGCACTGCCCTTCATTGTAGTTTAAATTTGCATTTCTCTGATGATTAGTAATATTGAGCCTGTTTCACATTTGTTGGCTGTTTGTATATATCTTTTGAAAAATGTCTGTTCATGTCTTTTGTCCATTTTTAATGGGGCTTTTTGTTTTTTTCTTACTGATTTGGGTTCTCAGTAGATTCTAGATATTAGTCCTTTGTTGGATAATTTTCAGATTTTTTTTTCCCATTCTGTGTATTGACTCTTGGTTATTTCTTTTTGTGTGTAGAAACTTTTTGGCTTAATGAAGTCCAATTTATTTATTTTTTGTTTTACCGTATTTGCTTTTGAGGTCTTAGTCATAAATTCCTTGCCTAGGCCAATGTCCAGAAGAGTTTTTCCTAAGTTTTCTTCTGGAATTTTTGTGGTGTCAGGTCTTATATTTAAGGCTTTCAACTATCTTAAATTAATTTCTGTATATGGTAAAGGGCAGGGATGCAGTTTTATTCTACATGTGGCTCTTCAGTTTTCCTAGCACCAGTTATTAAATAGGATGTTCTTTCCCCAATGTGAGTTTTTGTCTGCTTTGTTGAAGTTCATTTGTAGGTGTATGGTTTTATTTTCAGGGTTGTCTAATCTGTTCCAATGATCTGTGTGTCTCTGTTTATACCAGTACCATACTATATTTTTGTAGTATAATTCAAAGTTGGGTAATTGATATCTCCAGATTTGGTTTTTTAAAATCTAATCTAATTTAATGTAATTTATTTGAGACAAGGTCTTGTTATTACTCAGTGCAACCTCAAAATTCTGGGCTACAGTGATACTCCTGCCTCAGCTTTCTAAGTTGCTGCAAGTACAGGTGCATCCTGCCATACCCAGCTCATTTTTCTTTCTTTTTTTTGGGCAATTTTGGCTGGGGCCAGGCTTGAACCCTCCACCCCTGCTATATGGGGCTGGCACCCTACTCCTTAAGCCATAGGCGCCACCCTCATTTTTCTATTTTTTGTAGAGACAGGGTCTTGCTTTTCATCATGCTGGTCTCAAACTACTGGTCTTGAGTGATCTTCCTGCTTCAGCCTCCAAAAGTGCTGGGATTACAGGTATGAGCCACTGTGGCCAGTCCAGATTTGGTTGTTTGCTTAGGATTGCCATGGATATTTGGACTTTTTTTCAATTCCATGTGAAATTTAGAATTGTATTTTTCTAATTCTGTGAAAAATGGCATTGGCATTTTGATGGGAATTGCATTGAATTTAAAAATCACTTCAGGTAGAATGGACATTTTAACAATATTGACCCTCCCAGTCCACAATTATGGGATGTCTTTCTATTTCTTTGTGTCATCAATGATTTCTCATCAATGTTTTGTAGTTCTCCTTTTAGAGATCTTTTACTTTGATTAAGTATATTCCTAGGTATTATAGTTTGTTTTTTGCAGCTATCACAAATGGTATTGAGTTATTGATTGGATTCTCAGCTTGATTCTTATTAGTGTATAAAAATGCTACTGTTTTGTGTACATTAATTTTGTGACCTGAGACCTTATTGAATTCATGTATCAGTTATAGGGGTCTTTTGGATGAGTCTTAAGGGTTTACCAGATATAAGATCATATCATTGGCAAACAAGGATAGTTTGATGTCCTTTGTTCCGATTTGGGTGCCCTTGATTTGTTACTCTTGCCTGATTGCTCTGGCTTGGACTTGTGGTACTGTGTTGAATAGAAGAGGTGAAAGTGGACATCCTTGTCTTGTTCCTGTTCTCAGTTTTCCCCAATTCATTGTG